GAGAATAGCAGCACAACTGGAAGAACGTAATCGATGTCACTGAATTGTACATGTAGAAACTTTCAAAATGGTGTAACTTAGGCTATGTATATTTTCACCAAAAAAAAAGGTCCTCAAGATTGAGAAGGGAAAGTGTTGACATGTCGTGGGGTTGTTAACCAATGTCATAAAACAATATGTATACTGACTGTTTAATGAGAAACTACATGTTCTGTAAACCTTCATCTAAAGTACAATAAAAAAAGTTAAAAAAAAATAAAAACGAAAATGAGCACATAGCATTTTTCAACTACCGTAAAGGAAGGGTTACTGAGTTTCAATATTGTTTGGATTTTATTTTCTGTTTTCAGGCACTATCTAACTTAACAAAGACATGATTTGAGTTTTTAGATGTTGTTCAAAAGGAACGTCAGTTAGGAGATCTTTCACTCAGATGTAACTAATGGTCTGTAACACCAGCAAAGCCAACAGAACCAGTACAGTTTTTGCTTTCATACTAGATGCAGAATGTAGCTGGTGCTGGATACTTCCAAAGCAAATTAAGCTCATTGTGATGGTATCATTTAATGCAATTATTGAGTTGCTTTGAACACAGTTTCCGCTTATATCTAATTGTTCTGTATCTCATTTGCTTTGTTGTATTTCCATCCAAACTCCTATTTTTTACATTTTACTATTCTTGAATGGCATGCACATGGACTTTTGGCATTATATTAAATTTTCATTCAAATAAGTAGAAAACAAACAAAAATAGTTATCACTGAGTTGATTTCAACTCATGGCAACCCCATGTGCTTCAGAGTAGAGCTGCACTCCATATGGTTTTCAGTGGCTATGACCTTTTGGAGGTAGATTGCCCAAGTGCCTCTGGGTGGATTCCAGCAGCCAACCTTTCAGTTAGTAGCTGAGCAATTAACCGTTTGTACTACCCAGGAACTCCAAAAGGTGGTGTAGTGGCTAAGTGCTATGGTTGCTAACCAGAAGGTTGGCAGTTCAAATACACCAGGTGTTTCTTGGAAACTCTATGGGGCAGTTCTACTCTGTCCTATAGGGTCTCTATGAGTCAGAATCGACTCGATGGCAACAGGTTTGTTTTTTTTGGTTAAATCTTAAATTCTATCCTAATAATTTGGATGTACATATATATATGTGCTATAGCTTTAATAACGTGTGTGTTGTAGCTTTAACGAATTCTAGAATATATGCTATCGCTTTAACAAATTGGAAACTCTGGTGGTGTAGTGGTTAAGAGCTACAACTGCTAACCAAAAGGTCGGCAGTTCGAATCCACCAGGTGCTCCTTGGAAACCCTATGCAACAGTTCTACTCTGATCTATAGCTTGCTATGGGTTGGAATTGACTCATCGGCAATGGATTTCATTTGCTTTTTTTGGTTTAACGAATTAAGGACTAAAAGAAATTTAAAACAATTTTGAAAATAGTGACTAGAAAGTGCTTTCAAATTTATGTCTTTAGGAACTATTCAGAATGCTGTGTCTTTCCTTGGGATTCAGTTAGTTTATTTACATTTAGAGGAAGTCCACTTAAATAACAGAAATATGCCAACTCTCTGGTACAAGCCTTGAAAACCCAAATATCTGGAGGACCTGCAAAGGGCCTTCTTTGTTTATTTATTTTTGAGCAGCTTAAAGTCTATGGATCATGCTGAAGTCTTTACATAAAACACATTCAACTCTGGGTGGTTTGTTAAGCCCAGGAAATAAATGTCCTTGACTTGTCTTACATGTGGTCCCACGACACCTCTGAATCTGACCTTACTCTCCAATGGAAGATTACAAAGGCAGGATTTATCGTGGAAGCCAAGGATAAGAGAAGGCTCACTGAAGAAGATGTTAGGGACTTCTATAGTCAAATGGCAGACCAGGTAAGAAAGTTTAAAAAAAAAAAATCCTCTGTTTTTCTAATATAATGGGTTACCATAAACTTTAGATCCTCATTATAGAAAATCAGTAAATCTGACCAAACAAATAAGTTTCAGGTGTCCTTGTTGGTGTCAGTATCATGGTGATGCCAGTGATGGCAGCTATGGGGAAATCCCCAGTAGAAATAGTGGCAGCTGAGCACAACTGGATGGTCTGATTCTGTTTTTTTGTGTGTGAAGACCTCATTTCATGATCTCCAAGACTCCCTGCATCAACATTGTAGAAGTGAATATTCAGTCCTTTCCTATACATTCTTGCCCTGGGTTGAAGTTTCCTTGTCATAAGCTATAAAGGAATGCTTTACCCTGTCTCTACCTAAAGGTCTTTCTCTCAAGGTATTTCTTTAATTCGCCTTCACTTGGGTTATATAAAAAATGCAGTGCTGTGTATTGGGAAGTGCACTGGCTTAGAGGTCAGGAGACACAGCTTCTAGAACTGCACTGCCCAGTGTGGTAGGCATTAGATACATATCGTTATGTGAATTTAAATGAATTAAAATTAGATAAAATAAAAATTCAGTGTCTCAGTTGCACGAACCACATTTCAAGCGCTCTGTAGCTGCGTGTGGCTACTGTGTTGTACAGCACAGAAGAACATATCCATTGTATCAGAAAGCTCTATTGGACAGCACTTTCTAGAACTAGCTGCATAACTCAAACAGTCTCTCTTGACACCAACTTCCACACATGTAAAAAGAAAGGACTGAATCAGCAGCATCAGCATCACCTGGAAACTTTTTAGAAAATTGAATTCCTGAGCTCCGCTCCAAATCCCAGATCAGAGTCTGGGACTAGGCTTTAGCAGTCTATTTTAATAAGCCCTCCAGATGATTTGGATACACGCTAAAGTTTGAGAACCATGTTATTAAGACCATCTTTAAGATCAATCCCTGCTATCTGTGAACATCTACCCTTCAAAGATTTGTTTATTAACAGGAAGTTTATAAGGATAACATTCTCTTACCCAGTGATCATGAAGGGGTACATTTCACTTGACTTGGGTAGTGCCACCATTTTAATTCATCCAGTTGAGGAACCTGAAGTAAATAAACAGTTTATAATTTTATTTTGTAGCCTGACTTTGAAGATTTTGTCTCATTTATGACAACTGGCATAAGCTTTATTCTAGTTATCTCTCAAGGAAATAATCAACAGGCTCACTTTGAAGAACAGGAATCTGAACTACAGACCCAACTTGAAGAACCATCTGAAGACCACCCTGAGGTTGAAGATACGGACACATCTGCAGAGATAAAGAAGAAGCAAGACAGGTAGCTCAAGACCAGGAAATTTAGTATGTACAATGTGTTATTGAATGATGAAATGTAATGTCCAAATATCTTAAAATCTAAGGCCTAAGTATTTTTGTGATGAAGTCTTAAGTATTTTTTCTAGGCAACTTAATAATATCGTATATTCGACAAGCCTGGGATTGCCCTGAAAGTTTATGTCAAGAGGATTAGAAAGGAAAGAATTTTCCCTGCTTGTATTTCTAAAGCTAGGCACACCAGTTTGGCATCATAGCCTAGAGCTAGACAGGTAGATTGGGACCATTCATAATCTTCCCAACCTGGTTTCCACTTTCATATCCCCCATCCCACTTCCACCTTCCTTGTGCCCTGAAGACATCAAGCATAGTCTGCCGGTTTACTTCGGGCAGTTAGTAGTTATAAATTGCTGAGAACAAAATGGTTATATGTTTTTGTTAGTGAGTTTTTTAAATTATATTTGATAATGAGCATAAGTAATTCGCATAATGTTGGTTTTATTCACTGCCATTTGTGCCTTTTATTTCTCTGAAGACTCAGGATATCCAAAGAATTTGACACAAGAGTTAGAGTTGTGACTGTAATAATGGTGGGTGAGTAGGAACATAGTTAGAGTTACTGAGTTTTGCAACTTCAGGGTATGTGTCTCCTCCTGCTTGGTAGCCAATTGCCACTGCATTTTCTGGTTGGGAACCTCTAGAACTTCCTTTGTTGCCTTGTTAATGAGTTATAGTGGTTTGTCTTGACTAGCTGCAGGTACTGATTCCTGGAGCTGTCATATTTTTCCAGGTAGTGAGAAGGCCTTGAATAACATTAGTTCCAAGTTTTAAACAGGATAAAACCAGTTCTAACTCATGGCGACCCCATGTGTGTCACAGTAGAACTGTAATCCATACGGTTTTCAATGGCTGATTTTTTGGAAGTAGATGGCCAGGCGTTTTTTTTTTGTTTGTTTGTTTGAGTCTCCTTTGAGTGGACTCGAACCTCCAACCATGTTAATCATTTGTATCACCCAGGGGAGGGATTCATAAAGAAAATCAACCTCTGACAAAGGACTTTGTAAACAGCACTAGTTATCTTCCGGGTTTTGAGGGGAAATTACAATGAGTGGACAGGAGGAAGGTTTGGGTGGGCGTGTTGGGCTTAAAAATGTATCAAATTTCATACCAGAATTAAGGAGCCATTAAAAGAAAAAAAAGAGTTCTGTGAAACACTCATTAATGCAAATGGTAAAAGAGAAGTTGCCATTCCATTGGTGCTGTTTTTCAGGTAAAAGTTCTCTGCTCAGTCCAGTTTTGAAGCTATTGTCCCCATGTTTTCAATACCCATATAATGACATGAATAATTCAGACGTTTTAATTGGAAACATGGTGGTGGAATGAGATGTGTTAAACCTTGTTTTGAAAAAGTCTGCAGTATTTTCTTCCTGAACTTACAAACCAAAAACCAAGCCCATTGCTACTGAGTCGATTCCAACTTATAGCGACCCTATAGGACAGAGTAAAACTGCCCCATAGGGTTTCCAAGGCTGTAATCTGCTACATCTTTATCTTGCCAAGTGGCTGGTGGGTTTAAACCGCTGACCCACCCACCTTTCAGTTAGCAGCCATGCACTTTATTCATTGCACCACCAGGGCTGTTTCTTCCTAAACTTACAGATTCCATTTTTCTTTGGCTTGTGTTTATCCTGAGCAATAGCCACAAGAGGGCAGCATGGAATGGTGCTAGTATAGAAATGGTGTGTTTACATTTCTTTTTCTGGAGGACGGGCTTAACAGGTGCCGTGCACATCTACATGATATACTTTAAGTAGACATAGAACTTAAAATATTAAAGGGCAGAAACTCTGAAGATTAATTTACACATTTGTTTACTTTTACTTTTTATTGCCACCCTCTTCCCTCACCTCAAAGCATCTTCACTCTCCTCTCTGGGGCTTGATGGGTGAGATGAAATGGATGTTAAAAGCAGAGCAAGTAGACTGGGGGTAATAGGTGGCCCCTTTCATAAATATGATGGAGTCTCTGGGTGGTGTAAATGGTTAAGCACCCCGCTACTAACCAAAAGGTTGATGAATGGTACCCACTCAGAAACATCTCAGAAGAAGGACCTGGCAATCTGTTTCTTGAAGATCATAGACACTGAAAACCCTGTGGAGCACAATTCTACTCTGAATTGTGTTAGACTCAACAGCAACTGGTTCCATGAACATGAGCTCTATCCAGGGCAGCAGAGCCCCAGGTCTTTGTCAGGTTGGTTATCCCTGCAGAGACAAATGCTCGCAGTTTGTGAACCCACATGGCCTGGGGGAAACTTTCTCCTTGCCTCTGTTGAGGTCCTCCACAAAAGATACAGAGAAAATGCTGTGGTACTTTCTCCACTGAGGGCTTGGTGTGTGCCTGGAGGAAAGATCTGAGCCCAGGAGACAAGAACCTGTAGACAGACCACAGGCCCTGGGAAGAGTTAACACAGACTTGTGATGTCCAGGGGAAAGGTTGACATTGGACTTCACCAGGTTCCTGACCCCTGAAATGCCAAGATGGAGCTGAGTAGGATTACTGAATTCCCTGTCCTTGAAGCCCAGCACTCTGGGCTTTTTCCACTTGTTCCTGCAGGGGAATGACCCTGCAGGCTTCTACAGCACAGCCATAGCCTAGAGGCTAGTTTGCCTTCTATCTACAGGAGTTCCACTACGTAATACTCTAATAACCAGACCTAAGTTCTAATGAACCATCAAAGAAAAACAACTACCTACCTAAGGGAGCCTAGCAGCCAGAGAAAGATCTACACAACAATCAGGACACATATCCAGTAAACGAGAACTGATAGAGACAGACAAATCCCTGAATAATAATACTTGAGATACAAGTGCAGCACAGACAAAAAAAAAAAAAAAAAAATGCTTTCTAATTTGAATTATAAAAATCATAATTTGAACTAGAAATTCAGAGGAGATTTAGAGGGTCTGATAGTCATTTGAGACTTGAATTAATGGTGTGAAAAATCAGATGCAAGAAATAGCTCATCAGTACAGAACAAAAGTGAGAAATCACGAGAGCAGAAGTGAACAATCTAGAGACTATATCCAGGATACCTAATGTGCTAATGACAGAAATTCCATATAGAGAAAAAAAGTGAAGGTGGTGAGGCTATCATTCACCAAATAATAGAAAAAAAATTTCCCTGAAATGAAGAAAAAAGACATGAGTCTGTTAACTGAAAGAGTTTATAGTGGTCCAGCCTGGGTTGACATAAAAAACACCGATTTGGGCATATCCTGGGATAAAACCCTAAACATGAAGGATACATGAAGACTTATAAAAGAAGAGGAGATAAAGGGGATAACAAAGTTTTTTAAGTCTCTAAATCTTTTTCGAGTACAGGAAAGGGAGGATAAATGTAGTGTTGAAGTTGGGAAATAGCGTGCCAGAATGCAAGATATAATTGGGACCTACGTGTCTGGTTATGAGAGCAGGTAAAAGATGAGAAACAATAGTTCAGTGCAGAGGTGTAGTGCAACTTCCACATTAACGGGTGGGAGGGGAGGAATGGAAGGAATAGCAACTTGATCAGACCAGAAAAATAAGGAAAAGAATAAAGAAGGAACCACAGTGTCAAATAATTAGGTGTATAAAGTAATATGGAAGGAATTAAGTCAAATGTGTGGCTATATACTAAATATAAAGAGATTCATTCTCTCATAAACCTAATCTAGAGATTACCAGATTGCGATAAAAAAAAAAAAAAAGAGAGGACTTCCGGCAAGATGGCGCTCTAGGCAGAAACACCACGCCGTCCCTCCACAACAAAGATCCGAAAAACTAAGCCAAACAGAGAATCAACAATCCTGAAACCCTAGAACATCAAATGAAGAGAT